GGGGGGGGGGGGCGCTGACTCGAAGATGAGCTCACGTTTTTCTCGCTACAGTACTGTTGTACGAGGCTGCGGTTTTTTCTATGGTCAGCCCGTTCATTGCGGTTGGTGATGGCCAAAGCAACAAGCACACACAAACTCCCCCCTGAGGCTGACATTGTTAACGTTGGTCAGCCGGTTCGCAGCGCGTCGAAGCTTGTAACAATACTGGAGACACAAATGGACCGCAGAGATTTCTCCCGATTGCCCCCCCCCCTCCTTTTGCCCCCCCCCCCCCCCCCCCCCGTTTACGGCACCCGACTCGGAATCACGCGAAACAGTGGTTGCTTGGGCTTTGCGCACAGCTCTGGCGGAGCTTTCACCTTTTCGGGAAGCCTCCTCTCGGCACGACGGCGGGCGTTGTCGTCGGCCTCATGATCTACCGCAGGTGGGTCGTACCTGAAAGCGTCTCTGGTCTTGTTTAAATGTCACTTGGCATTATCTAGTGTCTCTGGTCTCAATTTAAGCGTCTCTTGGCGTCATTTACGTGTCGCTGGTCTCGTTTCAGTGTCTCTGTTGTGCGCAGCTGGTGCGCAGTTAAGAATTGATGCATGGTCACACAGCCGCCACGCAGTGTCTGGAAGAAAATGGTGGTGTGCTTCAGCGAAAGGGTTGGTGTTTGACCGTGGTGGAAGAAATCAGGGGAGCATTTCGAGCTCGGAAAGACAACAACGCAACTCTTCTCGCCACCCGTGGTTAAGTCGTTTGCTACCGCTGATCACGCACAACCGAGTCCCCCTTTTTTTTTTTCCGGCCAACTTTTCATTTGCTGACTTTAAGGCTTGTGTTTTCGCTTTCGACTGACTTCAATCGGGGATGGATATCATGTGGCCGCTGGAGACGCTCGACCAAACCCCCCTATATTCGCTCGATTTCGGTGACTTTGAACGTTTCTCGTGCGACTGAATTTGATCGGGGACCGATATGTTGCGACCGTTGGAGACGCACGACCATGTCATGGCCCCGCTTGATTCGCCCGACTTCGTGCACTGACGTTCTCTTGCATGCTGAAATCGATCGGGGGTCGATCCGGGTTGCTGCCACCGACGACGACGGCGCATGCGTCGCAGGAAGGTCGGGTTCGTCAACATGTCGCTGGCGGCGGCGGCGCTGTCGGGGCTTAACCCGTTGGTTGTCGTGGCGGTGGCCCTGGCCTGGAAGCTGTGGGCGAGCACCAAGTTCCTCCCCCGCGGCTGCAGGCTTAACCCCGAGGTGTGTACATGTCGCAAAGAACCCACGGCCGCTGCTTTTTGGTGCCGGCTATGGAGGATCGAGCAGGGAGTTAGCACGCGGGGATGGGCGATGGGTGAAAGGCGTGACCGGTTCAGAGGTGGCTGGCTGACTGTGGTGGTGCCGAGCGGCAAGCTGTTGAGCTGCGTCGTGGTGCTACAGTACATGCATCTCCCTTCTTTTTGCGGTGGTACTGGCTGAGATGCATGTACCCTGCCTACGCAACTGCTGTTGGTTGGCGGTATTACCGCGGCATTTTTTTTTTTTTTTTCTCGTGTGCCCGCTTTTGATAGTACGAGGCCCCTGAAGATCTCGGCGTAGACAAGCTTTCCGACGACTTCGAGCCGGCGAAGGTGTCCACGGCCCCCGGCGAGGAGTATGACCACGTCGTCGTGGGGTCCGATCTTGGAGGTGAGGGGGGAGGGGGGGGCTCCGTGAAGTGCTTGGTTGTTGGGTGACGCCCCACCGCTTCGCCGCTTTCCCCACTGGGTTGCCTACGTTTTTTTTTTTTTTTTGTCCGTGAAATCGCTTAGCGTGGTTGATCCGTCGACGATCAGCCCAAGGCAGCATCTCGTCTCATCGGCCTGTCTGCCTGCATGAGTTTTCGTTTTCTTCTCGTTCGGGCGTGGTGTGTACTCAGTAGCCTTCGCAGTTTTTTTCGTTTTTTCATTCCGAGTAAACATGTTGGAGGAAGAATGCAATCGGCGAAGTTGGGTTAGGGATAGGGTCTGCGGACCCCGTCCCTGGTCTATTGCCTCTTCATCCTAATTTCTCGAGAAGGCGGTCCATTATGGTAGGACCTAATTCGGAAACCAGTCAGTTTCCTGATATTAAAATCCTGCCGCCCGTCTCTGGCAAATGCCGCCCCCATCTTCCGCGCGCCGCCGCCCCTCGCTCTTCTCCTGACTCCCGTCATCATTCCCACATAAAAACAATAAGGTCTGTTCTGTGCGGCGCTTCTCTCGCGGTGCGGGCGCCGAGTGCTGGTGCTGGAGCAGGGGCCGCTCGCCGGCGCGGGGGCGGTGGTGAAGGCTCCCGCGGGGGCCGGCGACTGGGAGTTCGAGACAGGGGTGCAGTGCCTGGGCGGGGGGGACAAGCTGGGGCGGTTCGTCGAGAGGCTGCAGCTGGCGTTCCTGCCGGCAGACGAAGGGTCTGGGAAGGGTGAGTTGTAGAGGTATGTAGTGGACGGGGAACACCACGCAGATTTTTTTGTTATTGCAGCAGTTAGGTGTTGGGTCCGCCGCCTGCCTTGCCTTCTCCAACTTATAGCAGAGCAGAGGTCAGCATGTCCGCATATCGAAGAGAGTTCGACACACGTGCTACTATCGATGTGCTCGCACACCGTGTGTTTTTTTTTGTGCCTTTGTGAGGTCCGTGCAACAGGGTAAGGCGCATGCAGGTCTGTGTCGCATGCATACCCTTGGCATATACGACGCTTATTTCGAGGCCAACCAGTTCGGTTCAATCCTCATCGAACACATCAACACACTCCGGGGGGAGTATACGAAATGATGTTCAGCGCGCCCATGTCCCGTTGTGGAGGGCCGGCGTTGGCCTTGCCGCCGATCAAATCACGACGGGCGGGGTAGTTGGACGGCTTTTCCTGTATGCGCTGCGGATGCGGCAAATCCGGGCATGCAGCAGGCAGAGAGAAAAAGAAGCGCTTCGAGACACCATGGAAGGCGTAGATGGACTGCCCAGAAGGGCGACATGGTTGTTCGCTGGTGTTCGATCTGGTCCGCGCATGTGCTGAATTTGTCATCAGGCCGAAACCCAGACTTTTATCAGGCATATCAGACATGGAAGTGTGTGTTAGGCAAATGACTTTCAGGGCTCCCATCCCTTCGGGCAGACCTCTTCTGAAAATTTAACCAGCTGTTGTTTGATTTATAACCAGCTGCATGCGGCGATCCTGACGTTCTCTCCCCCCCGCCGCCGCCCCCCGCTGTTTCGCTCGAAAGAAAAACTCAAGTGGGAAAAGGTGGGCCGGCTAGAGTCAGACCTCTGCGTTCACGACATGGTGTCCGTCGGGGACGGGAAGCAGACAATTCTCTTCCCGGCCGAGCAGGAGAAGCTGTTGGAGTC